TCATGCCTTAGAGATATAGGATCGGAAGCAAAGTATGCCAAGCCTGTTTTTGAATGCAATGTCCTGTGCCAGTGTGGTGACCACTGCAGAAACAGAGTGGTCCAGAGGGGTCTGCAGTTCCACCTCCAAGTGTTCAAGACAGATAAAAAAGGTTGGGGACTTCGTACCTTGGAATTTATACCAAAAGGAAGATTTGTCTGTGAATATGCTGGCGAGGTTTTAGGATTCTCTGAAGTACAGAGAAGAATTCACTTACAAACAATATATGACTCAAATTACATAATAGCCATCAGGGAACATGTTTATAATGGGCAGATAATGGAAACTTTTGTTGACCCTACCTATTTAGGAAATATTGGAAGATTCCTTAATCATTCTTGTGAGCCAAACCTACTGATGATTCCTGTCCGGATTGACTCAATGGTACCTAGGTTGGCACTCTTTGCAGCCAAAGACATTTTGCCAGAAGAGGAACTCTCTTATGACTATTCAGGAAGATTTCTTAATCTAATGGACAGTGAAGACAAAGAAAGGCTGGATAATGGAAAACTAAGAAAACCTTGTTACTGTGGTGCCAAATCGTGTACTGCTTTCCTACCTTATGACAGTTCGCTGTACTGCCCCTTAGAAAAGCCAAACATCAATTAGAAAGGAAACTGCCCAACCCCTAAGAGAGGCCATTGGGTGGGAATGAGAGAACCAAGCATGTGTGGCTCAGCGTCTTATGCATTCCCCTCTTTCAAGCAACTTATCCTTTTTTTCTTAATTTCAGCATATTATGGGGGTACAGATGTTTAGGTTACATATGTTGCCCTTGCCCCTCCTCCCCCCCAAGTCCGAGCTTCAAGCGCCAAGCAACTTACTCTTGAGGGAAGTCTGCTCTGTGGCAAGCAGCTTGCCCGTCTTTATAAGGAACGCTGGTGGTTGTCTGGCTTTGCCTCTGGATGCATAAGTTTAAGTCAGGAATGTGGCAGAGAATACAAGTCGTCCATTATTATTCTTTCTTTCCTTCTATAATAAAATTCTCTATTTTACCTGGGTACTATGCTACCCAGAATACTCACTTCTCTAGTTACATATGGCTGAGTGATTTTGTTCCAGCTAATGGAATATAAGCAAAAATGATGTATCCTTGAATGGAGATTTCCACCCTTCTCCTCCTCTTCCTTCCTGTTGGCTGGAATGTATACGTTATGACCAGAGCTGGAGTAGCCATCCCAGACCCCAAGATGACTCTAAGAAAGGAAGCCATGCATAACAAATCAACAAGATAGAAAGGAGTTTAGGTGTCTGGTACTGTAGAACATTCTACTGGTCCTGATCTGACAAATCTGAACTTTTCAATGAGGAAGTCTTTGCCTTGGTTAAGCCACTGTTACTGTGAGTTTTCTAGCACTCAAACTGAACCTAATTATAATGATCCAGGAAAATCCTTGTGTCTACATACCCAAGCCATGCTTTCCAGCCAATTTCATTAGTAATAAAGCTGGTATTTTGATTTCTGTCTGTCTGACTCCTGCATCCTATTTCTTATTTTTTTCTTAGCACGGATCAAGGAAAACAGCACGACTAATTATCACCTGTTAAAACCCCAATAATTACCACCAATAGTGAAAAATATAACCATGGAAATGAATTCTGTGTTATAGCCAAAAGTCAGAAAAGGAAACACATTGTAAATTTTTCATTATATACTTGGCTATATTCCAAAGCTTGTGAAATTATGCTTTAAAACTTCAAATAGCCTCACTTCTTCATGTATTAATAACAAAAATAACCCCATCAACACCACAGAAGGAGATAGGAGTTTTATAATCCCATTTAATCTTCTACAGCAGCAAACATCTCTACCTTTCTTAAAGCAAAGAATTTGCAAAAATATAGTTGCTATGCAGGCATATTAGACATTTCAAAAGCTAAAATAATTATTTGAGCCCCTACAGTATTATTTAATAAATAATTTAATTTCTAGTACCTTTAAACCCTACCACTGGGAAGCCCTACAAAATTATAGGGATCCATATTTTATATAACACTCTTTCTGTGTAGCTATGTCTTCTACAGCAGCAAACATCTCTACCTTTCTTA